TTAAAATTATTGTGATATTAATATGACTCTGATGAAGATGAAGCTTCGCAAGTCTGAAAACTCATCAGGATTAGTTATTAACGCATTCTTCTGTTATATCCTCTTTTTATCGTTAGGTAACACAAATAGTAACACATCTAATTGTTCTGAAAACAACTGCTTTCAAACGTCAATATAGTTGTTATCTAAAACTGCGAAAAAATTAAAGTTTTAAAAATAGACACAATTTAGTTTCAATGTTTGGTCAAAAGACCTTCACCTAAAGTTAATAAATACTTTTCAGAAACTGATTTGGTTAAAATATACGTTTTCCTACTCATGAGGCTCCTGATGGGTCAGCAGTAACATTACGGATTTATAACGCCAAAATTCGCAGTTCGATTCCTCGCGGTGGACAGAACGCAGATACCCCATTGTAACGTTTTACAGTAAAAATAAAACAAATAAATTAACAAACTCTTCACATTAGCTGAACATTTATCTTTAAAGAAAAGAGAGAAAAGACAACAATAGAAATTAGGTTTAGTGATTAAGAGTTGGGTCGTACAGTTTTAGACATTTCAAATATTACGTAATAGTTGTATGTTTGTCCATTCGGGGCCTTTCAATTCGTTTGAAGATTGGACTAAGGCTTTATATATATATCTCCAAAATTGCCATGGTACAACATCAAAGCTCTTACATATCTTACCAATTATCCCAGTGCTACATTCAAGGCTTTATGTATATATTACAAATTGTCATGGTACAATATACAATGCTTTAATCTGTCTTATCAGTTGTCGTGATATTACATCCAGGGTTTTATATATCTTACCATTTGTCATGATGTTACATCTAAGGCTTTATATATCTTACCATTTGTTATGCTGTTAAATCCAGGACCTTATATATCTTACCGTTTGTCATGATGTTACATCTAAGGCTTTACATATCTTACCATTTGTTATGGTGTTACATCCATGACTTTATATATCTTACCATATATTATGATGCTACATCCAGGGTTTACATATTTTATCGACTGTCATGGTACTACATCCAAGATGTTACATTTCTTATCAATTGCAATGATGCCACATCCGACAAATGTTTCAGAAGAAATTTTACTACAAATTATTCTGTTCTCATATTCTCTTTTTAATATTTTATTAAAGTTTGTTCCGTAACAATATTTTATCGTTTTTTATATTAATTTATTATTGTTTTCGGATTTAGTAATTACTTTAGCACTTCTCGAAGCTTAACTTTTGTGCTTTACATGCATTTGATAACAGTTATATGTTTATTTTTGAGTATGTTTAAAATTCCAAACAAACCTATATTTATGTTCCTGAGGGCAAGTGTAAAATGGTTGATTAATGACCGTTAATAAGTATCAGAGAAAATGTATAAAGTTCCTCAGTAGATGAAGTAATATATTTCTTTTTCCTTGTCCGGGAGAAGCCTAGTGGTTAGCGCGCTGTACTATAAATTTGAGGGTCCCAAATTCGCGTCTCGAAATCGCATTTCGCACTTTGGAGCCTTGTGCGAGTTATAAGAGAAACGGTCAAATCTCACAATTCGGTTAAGAGTAGTCCAAATACTGGCGGCAGATGCTGCTGATTAGCTGCCTTCCCTTTAGCCCAGTGGTTATTAAACTTTGTCATTGTAAGCCACCCTAAGCTAAGAAAATAATATTTGCATCCCCTCCCTAGTTTACGGTTTTAGAGATTACGCTTGAAAAACAAACACGCAACATATGCCTGACATGTTACGGTTGCTAAGAGATGGTACTTAGCAAGGTAAACACATTATTTGCAATATTTTTTATTTTTTTCCTTTGGATTATTTTTTAGAACGCTTTTTGAAATCATCATTCAAAAAAATAGAAAAACTGACATGCAGCTGGCGCCGCCCTTAGGTTGTGTGCCTTATCGTTTGAGAACCATTTTTCTGGTCTATAACTTCAAAGTTAGGGAAGAGTAGCTCTTTTATATAGCTTTGCATGAATATCTGAACCAAACTTATAAATTTTATCACGGTTCTGTTTTATTACCTCCGCTACAGAAGTTATGTTTTCACACCTGTGTGTGTGTGTTTGTCAGCAAGATTTCTCGAAAACGACTGAATGGATTCGGACGAGTGTTGGCATACATCTGGACTATGATTCAACTTAGAATTGATTAGTTTTTGGTGTGTCAAAGTCATAGGTCAAGGTCACGAAAAAAAATCCCTATCTGTTACCATAGGGACCGATTTTTCACATTATTTTCGCTCCATAACTCAGTCAAAAATGATTGGATTTTGATGCAAATATGTAGAATATTATTATTCAGGATTCTTCCCAAAATGGTCCGTGTCCTGTGATAACGACGGACATACGGATACATTTTCGTATTTTTTGAGAGCCGAATATGATCAACGCTGCATGCGCTCTACTGAGAGCCCCTCGGGATCTATTTATATTGTTCCTCATTAAATCAGTTATTTAATAAACTAAAAATCTAGGTTTATAAGTTCCAAACACTTTTAAAAGCATTACAAACTAGCAAAGGTATTCCCATATGCCATGTTTAAAAAGCGATGCTATAAAAACGGAGGAGTGGGTTGCCCACTTCCACTTATATGAGTCATAGCACACGATTCGTTCGTCCGTCCGATGCAATGGTATTAGGCTACACTTGGCAATGAGCGTCAGGTTTCGTGTAATTTACTACTAACCTTCTCGCTCAGTTGAGCCGTCCTTCGCGGCAATAAAGGTGGTGACATGAAAATAGCTGCCAACCTCGAACCGTTCGTCCAATTATTTATTATTTAAACACAATAATTTGTGATACAAGACAGACAACTCTGCTTTTGATACAAGTTTGTTCAATATTCTCACGAAAAGCATGTTCTGTTAGACTTTATGAACTTATTTATAACTGGTTTAAGTAATTTAATGACCTCGTACTCGGACATACACACAACAGTCAGTAGTTCACATTACTGTAACTCGTGTTCAGTCAGTAACCATCCTTGGATGGTTCCTCATTTCTCAATATGTCAAATCACATGCCAACTACAAAATACAAGTTAATTAACACTATAAAGATATTCCATTACTTGTTTAGGAATACTTTTACTGTCAGTAATATTCTGTGTTCGACTTAGAACTAATTCCTATTTAAAGGTATAAAAGTCTCTTGAATAATCAACTGGAGCTCCATTTTAAAATTTGTAACACACTTTATTATCTAAATATAAATGATCTTAAACGTGGAACTTAAGATAATTTTTATTTTATGCATCAGCTCTTGTCGACACATGTTCATACAGTAAACGCTGAGGCACATCAAAATAACAACACCACAGTTACCATGACTTCCGTTATCCTTAATCTTAAGTTTCGTACGTCTTCTTTTCTTGGCACGACAATGTTCAAAATATTGGTTTCTTCAAAATGAAACCCTATTCCTATCTTCACCATAAAATTCACAAGTTTTTATATCATTCATTAACGATCAGGTATGTCCTCCGATAGATCAGCGGTAAGTTCAGGGTTCGATTAAGCATAAATAAATAAATAAGATTCTGTGTATATGTATTTAAGAAACAAGCAATAAAGTCCCAGTTGCACATTTCGTTCACTTTTATCTAAGCCTGCGTTTATAAATCTCTGCACGTATATAATTAAGTTAAACAAAAAATCTTATTTTTGCAAACATTTTTTTAGAGGTTAATCAAGAGCCTCTGCTTAATTGCACATAATGAGTATACTTATGTGACTCTGAAACACAAACAAATACACTAAATTGTAGGAACAACTAAATTGATTAATGATTTCTAGCCGCCAGGATGGTCGAATTTGTTTTATAGTTTGAAAGGTCTTTTGCTCAGTATGAGTAAAGTTTAATACCCATATAGAAATAAATAAAGCCAAAAAATTCTCATAGAAATCTGATGCTTACTATCAGTTGGCAACACATACAAAACAATTACAAAACGCTGTCCTTATGATAAAAAGTTTGACATACTAATAATATTAAAAAGATAATTTTAAATAAGTATTATATATATATATGTATATATATATTTGCTAAGTAAAATGAGCTAGCTGTGCCGTGCCCAAAGCAAGAATGTAACCCAAATTTTTGACGTTATAAGACCTTAAGCTTACTGCTAACTACCCGTTGAGGGGAGCAACTCTTATTCGGGCAGACATTCATGCATAAAACTTGCTATAAATTTGCTACATTATCTTTGAAGTTGAAATCTAGTTTAATAGAATGCTTCACGAGAAGAACGAGCGTACTTACTTGTAATTAATAAAAACACAAATTGTGGAAAAGTTAAAAACTGTCGTTGCATCACTGAAGTTTGGGCGAGCAATAACGAAAACAGATACGACTAACACTTGTCTAACACGTGTTTCCGTGGTCAATATCCATGTATCATATAACAACTACAAGTTTTATTTCATTTTACAAACTTTTGCAAAATGATGAAACATTTAAAAGGCTTAAGATACACTTCTCATTGGAGAGACGGTAACTGAGGTTTTACATTTTCTGCAGCATGAGAACAAAGATTTAGGTTTTTTATGTTAACTTTTCTAGTTATTTATCTCATGTTCGTAATATAACAGGATTTAAAATAAGTGGTACGTAAAATAAAAAATAAATGAAAAACAAAAGTGGTTTGTTTTCCTGCAGTATAATGTTTTAAAGTTTCCTATATATTCCCAATGTGTAATTTTTTTAACTTTTTCATCAAATTTTGATTTACTTAGACTTTGGCTATTCCAGAAACATTTGCATATTCTCTGAAAAATATTTTATCATATCTAACACGAAGTTAACGAAAACCGTAGACTATTTTACGAAAACTCTACTAACTGTAGTGATAACTCAAATCAAAACCATACTTCTATTTTTTAACACGACACTCTATTTCTCCGTTATTTCATACTTCTATGTGGTGTTCTTTTCCAGATATTATGCTCATGTTTTATTTTAAAATTACAGCACAAATATGTAACAACGGACAAGGACGAATAGTGTACGAGATGGTGGCCAATTACAAGTTAAGCGGAAACAGTGATTTTGGTTTCGTCAGAAATGAAGTGGTAAAGGTTTTTTCCCATCCTTATCTGACCTCCATATACTATTTTACTGTAAATACTTAATTTTATCAAGTATACTCATCTGTATTGTATCATTAATTTTATCTTTTGTTTTAAAAAAAAAGGAATAGTTCAATAGAGAATATATATATATTACAGAAAATAAACGTAAAATAAAATATATAGTTTAATTGCTTTATTTCCTCTGTAAACCTACAATACAAATGTTACGAGTGAGGTTGTATGATACTAAAGAAATACATACATAGGGTAATAAAGCTTGGTAAATCACGTTTAAAGAAAAACTGTTAAATTCCATACATAAGCTTCTAGTTTTGATTGCAGCAATAGTGATAACAGAAGAGGTAGAAAGCTATTATGTAGCGACAGGATTAGAGAAAGTATATTGTCCAGTTATTCACACAACAAAGTTGCATAGCGGCATGTCTGCGGACTTACAACGCTGGAAACCGGGTTTCGATGCCCGTGGTGGGTAGAGCACAGACAGCCCATTCTGTAGCTTCCTAGTGACGACATAGCTACATTATAAGGATATTTTACTTGTCATTTATATTACCACCAAATGTTACCAGAGATAATAGATAGATTAGTTCAAGAAAAGGATTTTTAGGATTTCGATGAAATATGCCTCACTATTAAAGTTCTGATTGATGCATTTCTACTTCAGTTGTTCTAACATACGCCGGTATTATTCTAACAAATACTGTGTTTTTTTGAGAGAATGTCATATCATATGCTTGTACGATTTTGAGAATTTTTTTTTTTAACTGGTAACATTTTATTTCTTTAATAAATGGTTTATTAGCGACATCACGAGCTGGGAATTTTGACCGATGTAAAAAATGTTTATAGTATTTCCTGTTTGGAATTCTTATCTGGAAACAACTTGTAGAATCAAGGTGATAGACAGCTACTTGTAGAATCAAGGTAATAGACAGTCACTTGTAGAATCAAGGTGATAGACAGTCACTTGTAGAATCAAGGTGATAGACAGTCACTTGTAGAATCAAGGTGATAGACAGTCACTTGTAGAATCAATGTGAGAGACAGTCACTTGTAGAATCAAGGTGATAGACAGTCACTTGTAGAATCAAGGTGATAGACAGTCACTTGTAGAATCAAGGTGATAGACAGTCACTTGTAGAACCAAGGTGATTGATAGTCTAAGGTGTTTATTGGCTAAGATCGCCAATAAAATTCTTTGGTATTAAATAAGGATACGTCTCTCTCGGTTTGTTTTGATAATAATATTCACGGAAACATATGGATATTTGCTTTTGACAATTAGTCAAATACTCTTAATTCTGTTGATGTGATTACCATGTTATAAAAATCGTTATAGTTCTTCAAAGAAAAGTTTGTGATAAACCAATAACCATCACTGTGAAAAGTGTAGAACACATTGATCAAGATATCTGATGAAGTTGGACGTTTTTCTTTGAAATCTTTAATAAATAACGAAACGAAAACCAGTGAACTTTTTTTCTGCTTGAGAGGATAGTTTTAATTTGTGAAATAACTTTTTAGAAAAAAAAGTATTCCTCTATATATAATATTAGGTATTTCATCTTTACAATGCATTGAAGATAGTGCAACTATTTTAAATTAAAATATATTTTTCTTGTTACTAACAGTTAACAAAGCAAGATATTCCAGTTAAAGTGCTTGAAGAATGTAAACGTCGTTGTCAAGAGGATCGTACAAATAATATACGGCAGTGTTTATCTTTCGACTTTATGCCCGGTAGACGGCGCTCAGGAGTGTTTCTTGAAACTAAAAACACAGAAACTGCTAATGTTGATGACAGTAGTAGTAATAATAGAAGGGGTAGAAAGCTCTTAGCCAGCGACAGGTTCAGCGGAAGTTTACTGTCCAGTGATCTACAAAACAAATTGCCCCCTAATGACAACATAGCTGCATTATATGGGGATTCTACTTGTTATTTGTATTACGATCGAGCGTCACCAGAAGGAAATGATAGATTAGTCAAAGAAACTGATTCCTGGCATTTCAATGAAATATGCCTTACTTGTAAGTACTGATTGATTATATAAATCAAAAATTATAATTGGTTCAAAGTTATTTATTATTATTATATTTGTATAAAGCCGTATCTAACCGTAACTCGATAAACTATCTTAAAATATTTGTTGTAAAAGATGTTTCAAATAACAGATTACAAAGTTGTGCCTGTAAAAAGTAGCCGTTTATTTCATTGTGAGGGACGATATCGTTTTGCAGATTTGTTAAAATATTTATTTCAATTTATTTATCAAACTATTGCCAGTTAAGAGTATCTTCCAAAACATTTAGAAGATTGTTCATTAAGCTATGACTCAGGAAACAATCCATTCCGTTCCAATAGCTTCAAAACCACTCCGGGAATGCTCTAACAGGCTTTATGTTTTTGAGAGAACGCCAGGATATCGTTTCAGTGGTGACGGAAATGAAGTCTTTGCTGTCAATCGAACTGAATGTGAAGCGAAATGTTTGAATCATAACAGCTTCACTTGTCGATCCGCAACGTATGACAGAGCAAAACAACTGTGTAAGCTAAGCAAACAGACGAAACAAATGAATCCTAGCAGGTATGAAGAAGATGTCAACAGCGACTACATGGAGAACTTATGCCTTCCAGGTCAGATTACTTAAATAAACTAAGGTGCCACGGTTTAAAAGGTGCTGGACTTTGAACGTGTCAAGATTCAGTTTCCAGTGATACTGTTATAACTCAACTTCACACCTAAAATTACGTTATAAAAATAAACTCTGAAGTTGATTGTTATAGACATAATATTTCTATCAAGACTTTTAAACACGTCAGCAAACTATCATGTCGTAAGATCGTGAAAAGTAAAGGAGAATTTCGTCAAAATAATCTTTCGAATTTTAAACTTATTATTGGTTGCGTTGTTGTTCTTTGAATTGTTTTGAATTTCGCGCAAAGCTACACGTGGGCCATCTGCGCTAGCCGACCATAATTTGGCAGTGAAAGACTAGAGGGAAGGCAGCTAGTTATCACTCTTTGGGCTATTCTTTTACCAACGAATAGTGGGATTGATCGTCACAATATAACGCTCCCATGGCGAGCATGTTTGTTGGGACG